AAACAAACAGACAAAACCAAATTAACAGGCCTCTTAGTTATTAGCATCTCAGCAATCTTTTTCTTTCTTTCTTTCTTTCTTTCTTTTTTTTTTTTGGTACCGGGAATCAAACTCAGGACCTTGTGCCTGCCAGGCAGGCGTTTATGCCACTGAGCTATATCCCCAGCAAAAAACGTATTTTTTCAGAAGTATTTTCCTTTTGTGCTGGGAATTGAACTCAGGACCTTGCACTTGCCAGGCTGGCACTTGTGCCACTGAGCTAGATCCCCAGCCCGCCTCTAAATTATTAGAAGGGACTTTTGGTGTGGCCACAAACTTACAGGCCTTTGGTTCCATCAGAAGGCAGGGTCAGGACAGGCTAACTGCCTTGCATGACAAAAACCAGTGGTGCCTGGGAATGTCCATGCTCTGTCTCTGGCAGTTTCCTCTGACTCCCCAGCTGCCATGCCAGTAGCACAGTGACCCTGCTGAAGGGACCTGAGGACACGTCAAGAGGGAAGAGAGCCAGCCAGCATGCACAGGACGAGGAAGAACCCACATGTGAGGGGAACTGCTCTATGGACTCCACTCACAGCACAACTGCCTCACCGTTTAGTGCTCAAATTTCAAAAAATAATGAAATTTAATAAAAAAGGAACATTAATGACAGAGAGGGAAATCATACCACAGAATAAAGCAGATGGTCTGTGACACGGGACCACAAAGCCTGGCAACTCTGACACCTGTAGAGATGTGCAAAGTCCAGGGAGAATTAAAAATTCTTTTCCTGTTTTATTGTAAATGGCAGAAAGAGGACCCAAAGGAAATACTTTTCTGGAAGAAATTAGGGAAGAATAAAGCAGCAGGGTGTGAAAGAAAATGTTTCTCATATCCAGCAACTGTGACACTAAGAAATGGCTTCAGGACAAAGATCAAATCCAGATGTGGCCCACCAAGCCGGAGCTGAGGGCGGGCAGTCAGCTTTCCATAGGCATCGCGTGGGGCTGCCAGGAACACAAAAGTGCGCTTCCAACATCCCACAGGAAGGACAGCCATGAGCCGGTGACCCCGCTATGTTCTTTCACTGCAGAGCTTCTTAGATTTGTTAATGTTTCTATCAGATTTGCTAAGTTTCCACTCAGCCACTATTTTCTTGTCCCCTTCATTCTGGAGGGCTTACTCCATGTCTACTGCACACCCAACCTGGCCCCCACGTCCCCAGCGAAGTACTACTGTCTCTTCCTCTGTGTCCGCCTCGTTAGTATCGCTGCCGTGCACTGTTTCTGATAATTCTCCCTCCTCATCAACTGTGCTCTGTGTCATCTCATACGTCCTCCCAACTTCTCTGCACTACTATTACTACAGTCACAAATCCAGATCCTTCCAAATAGATAAATTTTAGGCATAAAAAGGAAGTAAGAATGACTAAAAGCAGTGGCTTTTGTACCATGGAGAGCACATCTCGAACACCGAACTCCCAGAGCACCCTCACTTACACCACCTGAACTTAAGTGCAGAGAGAGGATATAAACTGAAAAGGAAAGCAACAAGTAGCAGGCAGGCCAAGAAAGCTACTCAGCAGCAAAGCCAGGAGAGAGGAGGAGACTTGGAAGAAACAGAAAGGGGAAAGTGCCCAGGGGAGAGTAATCCAGGGAGAACCACTGCGCCCTAATCGGGGAACCAGGCATGTGTACTTGGCAAGATTTCAAAATTTCTATGACCTGTGACTATTTTGGGCCTTGCATTCAAACGCTTGATGAGTGCGAGTGTGTGTTTCATCACTGTCATGTTAGTCCCAAATCTGAACTTGGTGACCAACACTCAATGCTACTCACAAATAACCTCTCCTATGGACCCTAAGTTGGGCCCCCAAACTCTGCTTGACACAAAAAGGCATCAGGGGCCTTTGGGATACTTATTTTTCAAGCAGGGGAAAGGCACATAGTTGTTGTATTCAGCGCAGCTCTCTTAAACTCCTGGGGAGCAGACGGTGCAGGATGGAGAAATGAAGACAAGAGTCAGAATGTAGAAACATGAGGTCGGGCAGAGCCCTCTCTCCTGATGGGAGAGAAAGAACTGCCCAAAGACTGCAGCTGTTTATTTATACACTGGGCTAATGTCACTTGACGCCCCTCTGCCTATCAGCTTGTTCACGTGACTCGCCTTGGGCACTTCAAGTTCCCGGACTGGCCTTGCTCCAGCCCCACACACGTAATGGATCTCCAGCTTCAGCCACTCCCCACACAGTTTGTAATCAGGGAGGTCATGACGGCAAGCCTTCCACCTACGTGTGCTCCATGTCCCCTTACCTCTAACGTCTTGTGACTCAAATGTACAGTGGCAGTTTTCCCATCTCAAGAAGGAGATTCAGACATAAAGGAGCAAGCTGTGGCATGTGTCAGAGGGGAAAGTGTTTCACTAGCTTAGAGCTAACACCCAGTTCCTATGAACGTAAACCTACTTTTGTCACTTTAGGGTGTGTGGAAGGACACGGAGAGATCTGTGAATGAATCTGAAGGAACGTCTGGTTTAAGAAATGCGATCTCTGTTTCCTTAGAAGAACTGAGCCTATTGCTGTTGGACAGAAGAGAACGTGTTCTAGGTCCTGAGGCTTCTTATTTATTCCAGTGTGAGTTCCGGGGCCTTCGTTCCCTCCAAGGCTGGTCACCCAGATGGGAGGCACCGGAGCATCGGGCCACCACTCCTCCAGGTGGGGCCATGCACATCTCACTGGGTACAACCCAAAACAGAACTCGCTTTTCACGAGCTTCTCCTACAGCAAGGACGGGAGAAGCAGAGATAACCCCAATTATCTGTTAAGGATCTGTTAAGCAAGATCTAGAGCCTCTAATTACCATTCCACACCAGAGAATGACAAACTCTTAATAGCAAATCTGTTTATAGATACAAAATAAAATGAGTAAGAGAAACTTGGATTGGCTGGGTAAGTTATGGTAATTACAGTAATCTAAGTGAATTCCTCACCCCCTGATTACCATGTAACACAAAGATGACTGCATCTAGCTGTTAATGGCGTTCAACAACTCCCATGTGCAAAGCCATAGAGCATGAGTATTATTTTCACAAATCAGAGGGCATCAAAAGATAAACCTCCTACTTTATTAGAGGTAAGAGTAGTTGATGACAGGCGAGTGAAAATTCAGGCAGCTACCCCCCTCCCACTGCCCTCTGGACATTCTTCTAGACTTTGTAAGAGACAGTAAAGGGCCAGGCCACGTGACTGACCCAAGTGGTTTCTACGCAGCCAAGAAGTCAAACAATTGTTGTAAGACTGTCTGCAGTGCATAACAGACACATTTACATGCCCAAAGCCGCAATTATGAACAGTCATGAGGCCCTAGAAAAATATCACAAAGAATAGTTCCTTCTCAGGCAATGCAGAGTAGTACCACAGAGGAGTGAAAGAAACAAACTCTATGAAGGAAGATTTTCCAAAAATTTTAGATGAAGATAAGAAGACCATGGATTCTGTTCGGCAGAATGGCAAATAAGTCAGGAAAGACAAGAAAAGAGGCTTGAACAAATACTCAAAGACGTTTCTAGTAGACGAGAAAAACAAGACGAAAGTGAAAGAGTCAAATTGGTACCTACATCACCGCTCATTTAAGCAAGGGAATTTGTAGGGGAATGTTAGGGAAAAAAGAATTAGTCTAGTTGAACCAGGCATGGGGGTGCATGCCAGCAATCCCAACAACTGGGGAGGCTGAGGCAGGAGGATCGCTGTGAGTTCGAGGCCAGCCTGAACTGCACAGTGAAACCCTGTCTTTAAAAAAGGAGGGGAAGGAAAAGAAAAAGAAAGAAAGCAAACATCCAGCTGAATTTTGAAAAGACAAAAAATTTTCAGTGCTGGGCTTGGTGGTACATATCTGTAATCCCTGTACTTGGGAGGTGAGGCAGGAGGATCACTCTGAGTTTGAGACCAGCCTGAGCTACACAGTGAGTTCAAGGCCAGCCTGACCTGCAGAGTGAGACCCTGTCTCAAAAAAAAAATATCAGATAAGGAGATCCTTAACACTGGAAAGTATGAACTTGTAAGACCAAGAGCTACTTTAACAGCAAGAGTAAACTGGGCTAAGCATCTAGCCCAAGCATTAGTGTGGCCGTAAACACCCTAATCCAGTCCGTCTGGACACAGGTCAGATGGGCAAGTATTGAGAACAGTGGTTTTCTGGTTGGAACTGGGTCTGTTATGAGTCATGCTCTACAGATTAAACACTTACACAAGTAGTCCACGTAGCTGAATGCTTTGAGGGAATTAAAGACCATGAAAGAATCTTTTTACCAATGGATCAAGAACAGCTCAAGATAAAACAATTAGGAATGTTCTAGAAACTGGTAACCTGAATTGGAAGAAAGTACTTCTGAGGTAGAATGAAGGATGGGTAAAGAGACTTTCAAAAACTTATTCATGTTTGGAACACTTCAAAATGCTAAATTAACACTAAGCAGGAAAGTAACATTTTCTTGTCTTCTTAAATATGGTGTGCCGCCGATACTACGCTATAAATAGAAAACACCACCCTCAGAAAAGCTGGCAAATTCAAGAAGAAAAAGAGCTATATTAAGTTCCCCCTATCCTTTCAGTCTGCAATATCAGGGTGAAGTATTTATACAAGGAAACAGATTTTTGTCTTAAAAATCATAAATATTTCAATCTGGTAGAAATTATTGGAACAACGTTTTCAGGAGAAGTTCTGCAGGCAAATTATAAAAGCAAAAAGACAATCCATCCCTTAAAGGGACTTCGAGATTTGCCTTCCATCTAACTGTGGTCTTCGGTAATCTAAACACAATGAGCGGAAGGAACAGCCAGTCACCCTTTAGGACCCGATGTCTGTCTTCCTCCTCCTCCTGCGTTTCCTAACCTAGAAATGCCACTCAAGCAAGTAGTCATCCCCTACTGGCAGCAAGGCTCTTTATGCAAAATGTTCCCAATTAGCTAAAAACAATAGGGCCTTTTGCGGCTTAGGAGAGCGCTGGAAGGGGGCTGCAGGGCAAACCTTGGCTTTGGTAGCAGCTGAGGCAAGAGCAGCTGCCGCTGCGGTGGCAACGTTTCCTTCAGAAATCTCATGTTCTACTTTTTTCTTCGCGGTGTCATTTTCTCTTTCTTTACATGGATCAGCGAGCTCCTTGTTCTCTTCAGTCTCCTTTTCTTCTGGAAATACCAGAAAGCTTTATTACTAGTGTACCCAGAAGCAGTAAAGTATCTCCCTTCACCTCTGCCACATGACAAAGGAGCACTGACCTTACAAAGAGATTTCAACGACTAATTCCTTTCCTGAGTGTTGCTGAATCATTCCGCACGTCTAAGTCTGCCTCTATCTGGCTGCATTTTCTAAACAGTACCCTTTGTCTCTCCTTCATTTTTCTAGGCTCCATGTGTATTTCCAAGATATAAAAAGGGAAATTCAGGAGAATGGAACCTAAGACCCCATATCTGTTCCTTAGTCAGCGGGATGCTCTGGGAACCCCACATTGTCTATGAAGTCAAGACACCAACAACAGGCTCACTGGGCCGCACCACGCCTGATACTGACAATAAAATGAATGACAAGAAAAAGGCAGGCTGGGGTGGTGGGGACACACTACTGAAAGCAGAGACAAAACACAGGCACCAGAATCAGCACTGGTACCAAAATGCTACGTGAAATGCAAACCCATGTTTACTGTAATATTAAGAAAACAAACCCAGAGAAGGTCAAAATATTTCCACACAGAATAAAACAAAACAAAACCGAGTAAAATGGATTGGGGACGGAGCTCAGTGCTCTTGGGCTGAGGTCCCAGTACACAAAATCAAATAAACCACAAGGAAACAACCTACACACCCCTCGCGCCTTTACATTACAATATAAAAATGAAACCTAAGGAGGCTCCTCTCCAGTTACCTGATTTGATATCTTCACTAACTTCACCATCCTGTTCCTTCTCGCTATTTTTTTCATTTTCTCCATCTTGTGTTTTATCACCTTCATCTGTTTCATTTTCTCCTTTGTTCTCTGCCTAAAAAGGCCCCCCCCCACAAAAAAAAGAGAAAAGGTGAACAAGAAAATTATTTCAGGAGCTTAATATCTTGGGGTAACAAAAGGTTTCACTATTTTTAGCAAGAACTAGAATACCTGGGTAATGTGGCACAAGCCAGTAATACTGGCACCCTGTGAGGCTGAGGCAGGAAGACTGAAAATTCAAACCTAGCCGGAGCAATTTAGTGACTTAGGAAAATCCTGGGCATGTAGCTCAGTACAAAGGCACTGAGTTCGATCCCCAGTACCACAAAACAAAAATACACCTTCCACCTCAAACATGGACTACAGCACCAGGCCTAGTAGCACACATGCCTATAATCTCAGCACTCGGGAGGCTGAGGCAGGAAGATTGCCCTGAGTTCGAGGGCTACATAGTAAATTCAAGGCCAACTTGGGCTACATAGTAAGTTCAAGGCCAGCCTGAACTGTATAGCAAGACTCTGTCTCAAAAATTAAAAAAAAAAAACAAAAAACCCACAAAAACAAAAAGGACTAGATTCACTAAATTCAGAAAGGCAATGTGTAGAAGGCCTGGCATGAAAACTAACAAATTCAGAGAAGTACTTTTTTTTAGCACCTCAACAGTTGAGGGCTCACAAGATGATGTATCTCCAGAGTATGGTCCCTGCTCAATCTGGGACCACAAGGTTAGTTAGCAAAGGAATCTCAGGGAATTAGTTGGTATCATCTGGTACCATTTGCTGATTTTGAAAAATGCCTATAACTTTGGACACATTCTATACCATGGTGTATAAAGTGGACAAGCTACTCCTGCTTTAAGAAGTAAATGAAATCATAAATGTAAACCACAAGTATGGTAGCGGGACACTGAAAAAACTGTAACCATTTTACTATTTCCCTCCCTCATCCTCTTTTCACATAATCAAGACCAGAAGTGTCTGCTGACCATAAGTAACAGCGACTGGCCGCTCACACAGGCTCCTGAAGAGGCAGGAACGCCACCCGCCCAGCCTTCCTCGCCTTAGCACCACCTGATGTGAAAGGGACCGCGCCCCAGTCCGCAGTCGGGACGCACCGGCACTGTGAGGTGATCACACTGGCTTAGGGCTTCTGCCCACTGCAGATGAAATCTTGGGTTCCTTAGCCTCTGTTTCAGTCTTTCAACAGTTCTAGCTATTCCTTAAAACCTTCCACAAACAGCCGTTTTTCATTAATTCTATTCTAAATATTCTTCTGCTACCAGTTAACTCTCCTAAGGAAATCACTTAATACTCTGTAGTTCTCCTCTGACACAAAGAGATCTAAACTCTACAAGTCAGTATTCACACTAACCACTTTTGTACTCATGTTCCCACCTGCGCCCCGAGAGGCACAAGAGAGAGGGAGGGAGAAATCTTCAGCAGATGAATACATAAAAGCAAAGTGTCATGCATCATGCTTAGTGAGAACTATACCTTAAGCAACAGAAGCCCAGCAGCTGATAAAACTATGTACAGTCCTCTGAGAGGCAGCCAGACGTGCACAAGCCCCGGCCATTACACACACGAGGCGTCACCCTCAACCTCTTTACCTTTTCAGGCTGCTGACCATCAGCATCTGTTTCCATTTTTTCCTCCTCAGCTCCTTCTGTAAGAAAAGGAAGAAGAGTGACAGTGCAACTGGTGAGAACTGTTCTGACCCGCGGCAAGAGCATCTGAAGCACAGCTGCACACAGCACAGTCACAGGGTTGACCAAAAGAAGTGGGACACAAAATGAATGCAGACTTCTGCCTACAGTAAAAACAGGTGAAAGTAATCTACAGCTACAAACCGGTGCAACGGCTGCCCGGGGAGGGAGAGGCGCAGTGCACGAAAGCAGGTTCAGGGTAAGGCACCATGGAGTGGTAATGGTTTGTCACTTGGGAGCTATTTATGCGGACATACTGTGGAAACGCACTAGGCTGTCCACTTAGGATGTTAATTTTTCTGTGTCTATTGAAGTTTGCTGGATACGGTGATGCACGCGTGTACTCCCAGCACTTGAAATACTGAGGCAGGATGACTGCCACAAGTTTGAGGCCCGCCTGGGCTACACAATGAGACCCTGACCCCTCAAAAAAGAAAGAAAAAAAAAACCTCTTAAGAAAAAAAAATTCAGGGCCAGGGATACAGCTCAGCACTATAAGCACCTGCCTGGCAAGCGTAAGGTCCTGAGTTCGATTTTCGGTACATAAAAAATTCAGTATTATTTAACACCATTTAATGAGTACCTATTTTGAATCAGGTACTAGACAAACACTGCTGAGCTTGATAAGTCACTAAAATGCAAAAGGATCACACTGTGCGGTAAGGCCACAAATCAACACAGAGCGTGCGAAGAGTGGGTGTGATGAGGTAGGGCGTGCACAGGGGCATGACATCCCACAGAAGAACATGCAGACTAAACGAATGAGCATCTTCTAAGTGTGTGTGTGGGGGTGCTTAGGAATCAATGTACCATACACGGAAGGGCGCCTGAGTACAAGAGTGCAGGGGAAACACAAGCCAACTGGTGAGAAAAATGAGAAAGGGACAGAGAGGTGCATACGGGCCAGATAGTAACACGTGAACACAGGAAGACGACTGTAACATAAAGAACTCCAGGCCCACCAGTTAGAAAATGATACACATTAATTTCAAGCTCATGTGGAACGTTTAAAAAATACTAATCACAAATTAGGTCATAATGTCGGTCTTTACAAATTAAAAAAATTAAATTGCTGTACAGATCAAGTTCTTTAACCACACTGCAATGAAAGAAGACATTTAAATGTAAACATTTTGGAGCCTAGAGACCAGTGAAAGTAGTACTAAGGTGAATTTGGAAAGCCGCATGCTCCCATTAGAAAAGATTCAAAGTTATGAGCTACAGTAGGACAAGAGGATAAGAACAAGACTGAAGGTAAGGAGAAGAAGACAGGACAAAAATCAAAGAAATAACACAAAGCCACAAATCAATGGAACAGTCCATCAATATAGCTAAAAGATGGTTCTTTTCAAACAATTAATAAAATTGACAAAAGAGAAAAGAGAGATGGTAGTAACTATTTCAGGAAGGAAAAAATACATGAGATTATATATGAATGTTTGAAGTAGAAAATACAGAAAATGACCCAAACTACCCATCCAAGAGAACAGACGATTAAGGGCCGGGGATATAGCTCAGTGGCACAGTTCCTGCCTGGCAAGCACGAGGTTGTGAATTTGATTCCCAGTACAATTAAAAAAAAAAAAAAGATGATCAGATTACAACTAGAATAATTCACACGAATGAAAACAAATGGCTCCAAGGATAAATCTTGAAAACATTTTCCTAAGCAGAAAACAAAAACAAGCCAGTCTCAAAAGTTTAAATTAAAAAAATATTTTATTTGATTCCCAGTACCAAAAAAATAAAAATTTTAATGTTTCACAAAGATTAAAAACAAGCAAAACAACACCTAACATATATTATTTCAGTACATTTATGCTTGTATTCAAAGCCATTTAAAAAAATATTTAGAATGATATTCACTCCAGCATGGCAGCATAGGCCAGTAATCCCAGCATTCAGGAGGCTGAGGCAAGAGCATCACTCAGAGTTCAAACCAGCCTGAACTATAAGAAACTTTCTCTCAAAAAAAAACAAACAAACAAACAAAGTAATAATTTATGTCTTGGAAACAGCCCATGGCTAAAGAATATGTGGGCTGGGCTTTTTAAACAATGGAGTACTACCCTGTCATAAAAAAGGAGAAGCTTGACGCATTTCTAGGTAAAAGGATGTACCTTGAGGCTACACTCAAGTCAAATAAATCAAACACGTGTAAATACTGCATTCTCTAGTGTGAGGAACCCAGAATGTAAATAAAGACCAAAATGTATACTAGATAGTATGAAATAGGAAGAAAATGTTCAAATGGGAAGGGCAGCCAGGGATGGGCAAAGGGAAAAGGAAGGAAGGGAAAAGAGAAAATGAGAAGAGGAAAAAGGAAACAAAGCTTTTGCAAGTAAGGAGGGGAGGAGGGGTTGAAGGAGGGTAGAGGGATGGGGGAAAAGGAGGCAAGATACATCAGGTACAGGCACAAATTTCCTACACTGTGATCATTATACATAAAATGCACCTATAAATGTAATTACAAAAATAAAAACTTATGATTCTTCTGGGAGGGTAAAGGTGAGAGTAGGTAGGGGAGGAAAGAAATTCAAGTGACTGGCCACACGCTAGTTCTCGGTTCAGAGGGACTAGATGCACTGCGTAACCGGGTCTAGCTATCACTTCTTCACAGGTGAAGACACTGGGCAGACTGGAGAAGAAATGACCGTTTCCAGAATGCACGCCCTGAACGTAAGGGCATCGATGCCTCCCAGGAAGGGACCGATGGCCTGACGGGCGCACTGCTCTTCACCTACCTCATCCGCAGACACCCAGCCCTTGCTTTCTAAAACAGACAGACACATGCTACTTCTGCTCTGCAAGGTCCACGCGTCTCCAAGACAGAGGCCCCTCAGAACAGCTCTGCACTCCTCCTCAGGGCGGACTTGGCCGCAGGACCCTCCTCACAGACCTCCTGGCACTTGTTCCAGAATACGCCACCCACACTTACTCTGTCTTCCCTGTTTCATTCGTGCTTCAAAGGTCACCTGTTTCGCAAAGTCTTTCCTAACTTACCTAGGTGAAATTGTTTCCTGTGTGTGCCTCTACTTATAGATGGTGTGTGTGTGTGTGTGTGTGTGTGTGTGCACGCGTGCACATGCCTGCCAGGACTCAAACTCAGGACCTTGCACTTGCCAGGCAGGCGCTGTACCACCGAGCTATAGCCCCAGCCCCTAGCTGTATTTATTTACTTACCTGTCCCCAAACTGAATATTCTTCAAGGGTTGAATTTTTACTACAGAGATTCTAAAAGCGTGGTTGGGGTTACTCTTGGGATCTCCAAAATAAAAACCAATTTTCATACTCATAATATGGTGTAATTTGTCTTTTCGGTCTCTTTCTCAAATGTGGAGTCTCACTTTTCAGTGGCTATGCATTTTTATGATGAAATCACTGACACCTAAAGGAATGTGCTCTTGAAAATGTTTTTACAGGGGCTGGGGATTTAGCTCAGCGGCAAAAGCGCCTGCCTGGCATGCGCAAGGTCGTGAGTTCGGTTCCTGGTACCGGAGAAAAACAAAACAAAGCAAAACAAAAAAAAAAAAAAGTTTTTACAAGTGTCACTTCTAATACAGTAAATGGCAACATGTATCTGACACAAACCGAAGCATCCTGGGCCCTTCACTATTTTTTCGGACTACAAAGGAGACTTGAGCCCAAAAGGTTTGCGAACTGCTATTAAAATCAATTGTCTTCTCAAAGAGAAACAGAATGAGACGCACGGTAGGAACTTCAACACTGCCATCACCCGCACTAAAGTCAAAGTGCTCCACAGAGCCAGCAAGACGGCTGCACCCAGAGCCCGCCCCACTCCACCACCCAGCCTTGCTGTGAGCCGGCTCCTTCCTCTGTACTCTGGCCAACTGGTTTCACTCCCCACCTGTGAATAACCTGCCCTTTCTGTTTCTGTGCCTTTGTTCTCAGTGTTCTATACAAGGGAATACTTGCTCCCATCTGCTCAGTAACATTCTAAACTTCTCCAACATTCACCCTAAATCCGACTTTCTTTGTGAAGCCTTCCTCAGTGTAAAATTACACATACCCTTGTGCTGTTACAGTGATTCCCATGTACTGTGCTTCTTGATGAATAAATACTGTACTTCATTATATCCCTCTAATGCTAGAATGATTTTTATGTATGACCTGGCATAAAAGCAGTTTCATATACTTAAATGACACATGCATCATTCATAGCAAGAGCTACACATCAAGTAAACAAAATGCCTAACTTGGTAAAACAGTCCCCAAAAGGGAGACAATTATGTATTATATGCAGTGTAATTAAAAACACTGCAATTCGTGTGTGTGTGTGAGAGAGAGAGAGAGACAGACAGACAGACAGACAGACACTGGGGACTGAACCTAAAGACCCAGGCTGGGCTTGAACTTGTAACCTTCCTGCCTCAGCCTCCCAGGTTACTGGGAATACAGGTGTGCACCACCATGCCCAGCTATGCCAAATGTTTAAATAAAACAATATTATTACAAAGTAAAAGGCACACTGCCATTTAATCCCCCTAATACTCCTCCTCACTTTGAACAGTTTTCCCATCGTTCTTGCCATTTTCTAAAATGATCTACAAAAGTGTCTTTAGTTATGCTGTTGTGGCTGCCTCAAAGTCCTGAATCCATTCAAAATGTTTATTTTTCATGACTTAGGAAAGAGCCAGAAGTCACATGGCACCAGATCTGGTGATAAAGTGGATGAGGATGCACTATCATGTTTCCAGGGCTCTGCCTTTCCAATGGATGGCACCTGGCAGCAACACCCACCGCATTTTTGATCACACTTTGTAAAGACATTCAGGAAAGAAGATTCTAGAACTGCTTTAGAAATTTACAAGAACGATGGGGTAAGTGTGTTTAAAGCAAGAGCATCCTGAAGTAGATTAATGGCAACATGTCTTTTATTGTAGGAATTTTAAAAAATAAAATACACTTGGGGGGAGCCGAGACAGGGATTCTCATCTGG